GCTTACTCGATGTCTTTACCCTAAGGGTCCATGTACCCAAATAGTAGAACATTGGCCTTAATGTAGTCCCTATATGGGTACTTTAGGGCCAATGTTCTACTATTTGGGTACATGGACCCTTAGGGTTACATATTCCGGAATGAAACTTTGAACACGAACTCTGCGCCCTCAGCCGGGTTGAGGTGAAGTCTACACAGAGTAACCCACATGCCCATTCCAGAGGGAGCCCGCTTTAAGTCACAGTATACTTGGGGCATGCTTTCAGGCTCCATCATTCCTGCATTAAATCTTCGGGAGCTGCTGACGGGCCTTTCGGTGCGCACGGTATAGACGATAGAGGGTTCCAGAGTTGTTTTCTATTCACGAAGCACACTTGCCTTGCAGCTAGGTTGAACCCGAGACTGCTAAAGCGCAAAGTTGAGTTGGCAAAGTAGCTTCACGGGGAACCAACATGATTTGATTATCCTTGCGGATATTTGTTATTCATATAGTATATTTCGCGTGCTATCGTGGACACAATCATGCGAACTTGCTTTTGCCTTGCAGGCTACTCCAAAACTTGAGACATTCAAGTCTACCTTAGTACCAAAGCTCTGAAACAGAACCCGCGGGAAGTTCACGACTTACGTTCCCATGTCTGCATTCGCAGGCAACCACGAGTCCGAATGCCACAGCCCTGCGTGCGTCACAGAGCTGCAGAGATGCCCACGGGCCCATGTAACGGTTACTACACGATGTTTCTGTTTGGGGACAGACACCGACTAAAGAAGCTCCATCCGGTCTTGTTTTGGGCATAATGCCAGTTGAAACGGACCGAACGAGTTAAGCTTCCGGCATCTACCGAAGCTACGGTAGATTTGTTGAACCCAAGAGTGTTCAACTCCCCAAATTAATCAAGCCCCTCCGAGGACCATGCACACAACAATAGCGAAGAACGCTTCGAACTTGGGGCCACTTACAGGTTAAGGTCTAATGTTTGATCATTTGATCCACTTGACTGTATGGTTGGCAGTACAACTGGACCTTGGTAATTGTTTTTTGCAGTTCTCCATGTTTGGGTTACCACTTCATCACTAGGCTCTTTGACAACAAACCTGAAAAACGAAACCGAATCTCACTGGAGGGATCTGGAGATGGTTATCTTAACCACTCTGGAGTCACTCTACGACTTTATTAGAAGAACCTCCGAGAACCACTTGTTCATGAAGGTTGCAAAGCCTTCCGAAAGCTCAGTTTTACAGCCCTTCAAGAATCCATGAAGCAAGCGTCCAAAATTACCTTGTTTTCCGAATCCCCAAACCTTCGACCCGGAACCCTAAACCCTAAACCCTAAACCCTAAACACTAAAGACCCTGAACCCTAAACCGGAAACCTGACATCAAACCCGGAGCCGCGAGCTAAGTTGTTGGATCCCTTCCTGGGCCGCGCGCTGATGAACTTCACCGCGCTCGGCTCCTCAGTGGGGCTGTGGACTTTTACAAGTTTGAGTTTGGGGGTTTTGGGGTCGGCCTGTAGCACACAATAGGATTCAGAACTCAGGTCTTTGGGTCGTTCTATGTTGGGTTGCTGCTGGGTTTTAGGGTTGAGGTTGTTGAGATTTGCGTTTTAGGATCGCTCCCCAGTTGGACGTAATGTTACTGTTCTTGAACAGATTTTAAACGCTTTTAGAGCTTACGTATCAGGCTTGGGCTTCGCAATTGAGCCGTTTGGATCCCTGAATATTAATCTTTTCTGACGATCAGGATGATGGGATGGATCCAAGACGGAGTCGTCTGTAACCCTTATAGTAGCCCGTACCAAACCCGTAAAGAAACCATCTAATCAAGGAGGGTGGGGCTTTGGAAACACGGAGAACGAAACGCCTCCGGTTTGCTTTTGGTTGAAGCAGGGTATAACATCCATGTGCTAAGGTTTGAGCGGCGAAGCAGCGTGCGTGAGTATTGGAGACTTATGCAACCATGTACCCTAAATCCATAAACCTTGAACCCCAAACCCCTAAA